GGCCAGTATGTATTAACAGCTCAGTTGTTTCAGCTTTATAGTTTCAAAAAAGGAACAGGTTTTAACATTTGGATATTTTCATTTTTCGATTTTGACCTTTGTTGACTTTTGTTGACCTATATCTTTTGACCTTTTGAAGTATCCATTTGTTCAAAATGGAACTTTGCATACAATTACCTCATATTGTGAGCCACTTTGTCTTAGAATTTCGGTTGTTTCCGCTTCATAGTTCAAAAAAAGGAACAGGTTTTGGAAATTGAAAATTTTCAATTTTTGACCTTGACCTTTGTTGACCTTGACCTTTCTAACATCAAACGTCATTGGCATTGGCTATCTATTTATACTTTTATATTTGCCGTCCTATGTCAACTTCCGGTTTTATAGTCGTGTGCAATTAGAAATTTTGATGACGTATATCTCTTGATCTTGACCTTTTTAGACTTTCTCTTTTACAAGATCAAAGGTCATTGACTTTGGCTATCTGCTGATACTTTCATTTGTGAGGTCTGACGTCTACTTCCGGTATTAGAATCTTCTAAAAAATGAAAATTTCTCAACTTTAGACTGTTCTTGCGCTTGATCTAATTATCGTGGAAGGATGATTTTTTCGGGGTCTTTTGCAATTTGCTACATTTGCAAAGTCCCACTCTGTGCCACGAGTGGCTCTAGTTTTGTAATTGTAATCTAACAAGTTTTTTACCACAGGTTCATTATATGACATAGCCATTCAAAATGAGACGTGAAGATCCCATTTCTTGATAAGATAACATAAAATGTGTTTTAGCAAAACCCTAAGTAGAACAATATGACAGCCTCTTTCGGTTCATTTTTCAGTTATATTGAAAATTGGTAAGCTGAAGTTTGTATTCTCACAGGTTTATGGGTTACATGACATTGTTATTTTTTCAAGAATAACCCTCATAGTTCTAAAACCATAAAATAACTTGTAACTTGATGTAAGGGTGTTAGGCAGAAAGACTTTATGTAGCCTAGTAGCAGTTTAATAGTGGTTTTGGTTTTGCTGGCATAAGATATCCCTCTTATGCTATGTCTCTCCCATAGCTTATCTGTTGTAGATTGTAGTGCTAATTTATTATGTACAGTGAAACCCCTCAAAACTGCATCCTCTATAAAACATTTGTACAGACATTTGAACAATTTAAATGGTTTTCGAAGGCTCGTGCAATTTCTGATCCTATCATCCAAGCTAAGGTGCCCAATTTGGTAAAGAAATGAAGATTACAGAATTAAACATTTTAAAAGGGCAATAGCTACAGATAATGTTATCTTGCCACTCATATGGGTAAACCGTCAACCCCTTCAAACCAGTATTTCACGGTAGTCCGATGAGCAGTCGGTTTAGAGGGGTTTCACTGTATTATATCCAATGTCTGTATACATAAAAATGTTAAATGTTGTCTGTCTGTTGGCCTTTGTTAGTTTTATATATCGACTGGTTTCATAGTTTCCCTGAAAACTGAAGAGCTAGGCATCATGATAGTATGATTTTGAAATGTAGTCCTGAAATATTTGCTTTACCAGTGGAGTTCAAAAATAAAATAGTATGTCCAATGCCCTTATAATTAAAGATAAAATGTAACTTTCACAGTAACTGTCAGATTTTGATGTTGAATAGTGATGAAGCTAGCTTTAAGAAATTATATCAGCTGGTAGAGCAATATGCTGATGATTGTATCCCATTAGTATCTTATAGTATGAGAATAAGGCACCAATACTTAAATGTATGTATTCAATGTACTAGATGTTCAGACTATGTATCAATCATAAATGGAAATGTTAGACAAGTACAATGTAAGCTAACATAGTTTAAATTAAGCTTTAGTTTTATTCAATGTGACTGTATTCTGATTTGGGTCTTCCTCTCTCTGGAGAGACTGTTTATATACAAAAAACTTATTCTGATTTTTATCAACACTTTGAAAATTAGCACTTTGAAGGAAAATGCAGATATTCTACTGTTTTTTTCTTATCAACCTAATGAATAATTACAATACTCTTTTTAACTGTTGCACAATTTGTTAAAGGAACAGGTTGGCCATTTTTTTGACCATTCATACTTCAGCCTCAGAAACTGGAATTTTTTAACTAAGCTTATCAGTAATAGTGTTCACATATAACTGTCGAAATTTGAGCCTTCAAATAAATCTCGTTAATTTAAGAAACTATGTGATATATAGGAAAGACATCTATAGAAATAGTGAGTAAACATTTCTGGTACTTCTGAAGATTATTTACTAGATTATAGATTAAAATCAAACCCCCAAACTGGCCTACCTGTCCCTTTAATTTATGTAGAGGTGGTACTATTAAAAGAATTTTTGCTTATTGTTTAAAATTCAAAAGGACACATAGTTTTTTTATTGGTGAAATGGTCAAATGAACAAGTCGCTCAAATTTTAATGTGTTTGAGCACAAAGTTACTCCCAGCAAGAGGAATAAAAAGATTCTGAAAGTGTTTTCTCACCTATAGAGATTGTTTTGATCAACCAAAACTTGGTACAACATATGCCAAATAAATAATATAATAATATTCCAAAACAATGAATGACCTAAGAGAAAAATAACTAATACTTGGGGAGATCAATCAAAGATTATAAACAGCAAAGCAATTATTATTTTCTTTGTATAATTTGTAGTTTTGATTTCAATCTACCATCGAAAGAAGTGATTCGATTAGAACAGGATGTTTTACTACCGCTAGCAGGAGATAGGAAACTCTATGTATATCAGACAAAAAAATTTTGGAGTCAACTGAAATCAGCTGGGTGAGGATTACATTAATTATACTAATCTAACTCATTTATTTCAATTGTATACTTATTATTCAAGGTCAGCCTGTAACAATTACCAGTATTTCAAAGACAATCTCATACACAAATATTTGACAATAGTGTTAAAATATGTACTATTATAGATAGAAATATTGTACAATTGATTACCTAGGTTACCCATAGTTATAAAACCAAGGACAAGTTCTCTGACTAATCAGATATAGGGATGAAAATAAACCAGGTGAAACGATTAGTCAAGAAATGTGATTATGTGGAAATAAACATACACTATTACATTTCTTCAGGGCAGCTATATATGCTAATAGACATTATTTAGCTATATATAGAGCAAGAGATTGTGATAAACTGGCTGTTTCTGGAGATAACAAACCTACTATAGTTGGTGATGTTTTTATCCATCCTTCTGCTGTAGTCCATCATAGTGCAGTGGTAAGTAGTAGTAGAGCAATCTTACAGTTAATGGGCATTTTTATCAGATACAGTACAGAGCAATATTTTTGTCTATTAAACATGGTGCATTTCATTTCATATGTTGCATTTTCTAGTTCTTGAGTTCTTTCTCCTGTCCTTAATCTTACCCCTATTTCAATCAAGTTAACTTTTTAATGGGTTTTTAAATCCAATACATATCTTGGTGTTAAGTCTATAATCAGTTCTATACAAGATAAGAAATGAGTTATGCTTTATGTTTTAGTTAGGACCCAATGTGACTATTGGTAGAAATGTTGTAGTGGGAGAAGGTGTTCGAGTCCGAGAATCTATTATATTAGAAGGTGCTACATTACAGGTTTGTACTTAAATTGGTTTGAAAGAATTTATTTTACATTTAATTCAAAGATCGAAATAGTCAAATGTCAAATTGCTGCTTTACTTTAAATTTTATTTTTGCCTGACTGTAATTGTTGCTCCTCTACTGTTGTGTATATGTGTGATGTAGAACAAAAGCTGGAACAAAATTGTTGTTGAATTGTTATAGAATAATATCTTCAGTTTATTTGTGTGTAATTGTAGGATCATTGCTGTATATTATATTCTATTGTGGGCTGGCACTGTACAGTTGGTGTATGGACTAGGGTTGAGGGGACGCCTAATGATCCCAATCCTAACAAACCGTTTGCTAAATTAGAAATCCCTAGTATGTTTACAAATGATGGTAAACTCAATCCTTCTATCACAGTCATTGGTAAGTTTTTATATAATATTCTTTATTAGTTATTATTAGATTCTGATGTATTGTATTGTTGTATATTTTATTATTTAGGTTCTGATGTATTGTATTGTTGTATATTTTATTATTTAGATTCCGATGTATTGTATAGATGTATATTTTATTATTTACATTCTGATGTATTGTATAGATGTATGTCTTATTATTTAGATTCTGATGTATTGTATAAATGTTTATTTTATTATTTCAGGTTCTGATGTATTGTATAGTTGTATATTTTATTATTTTAGGTTCTGATGTATTGTATAGTTGTATATTTTATTATTTCAGGTTCTGATGTATTGTATAGATGTATATTTTATTATTAAGATTCCGATGTATTGTATAGATGTATATTTTCTGATTTACATTCTGATGTATGGTATAGTTGTATATTTTATTATTTACATTCTGATGTATTGTATAGATGTATATTTTATTATTTACATTCTGATGTATTGTATAGATGTATATTTTATTATTAAGATTCTGATGTATTGTATAATGGTATACTTTATTATTTACATTTTGATGTATTGTATAATGGTGTATTTATTTTTTACATTCTGATGTGTTGTATGAATATATATATATTTTATTATTTACATTCTGATGTAGTGAATAATGGTACATTTTATTATTTAGATTCTGATGTATTGTATAGATGTATATTTTATTATTAAGATTCTGATGTATTGTATAAATGTATATTTTATTATTTTAGGCTCTGATGTATTGTATAAATGTATATTTTATTATTTTAGGTTCTGATGTATTGTATAAATGTATATTTTATTATTTTAGGTTCTGATGTATTGTATAGTTGTATATTTTATTATTTTAGGTTCTGATGTATTGTATAAATGTATATTATATTATTTTAGGTTCTGATGTATTGTATAAATGTATATTTTATTATTTTAGGTTCTGATGTATTGTATAGTTGTATATTTTATTATTTTAGGTTCTGATGTATTGTATAAATATATATTATATTATTTTAGGCTCTGATGTATTGTATTATGTATTGTATAAATGTATATTTTATTATTTTAGGTTCTGATGTATTGTATAAATGTATATTATATTATTTTAGGTTCTGATGTATTGTATAGTTGTATATTTTATTATTTTAGGTTCTGATGTATTGTATAAATGTATATTTTATTATTTTAGGTTCTGATGTATTGTATAGTTGTATATTTTATTATTTTAGGTTCTGATGTATTGTATAAATATATATTATATTATTTTAGGCTCTGATGTATTGTATTATGTATTGTATAAATGTATATTTTATTATTTTAGGTTCTGATGTATTGTATAAATGTATATTATATTATTTTAGGTTCTGATGTATTGTATAAATGTTTATTTTATTATTTTAGGCTCTGATGTATTGTATAAATGTATATTTTATTATTTTAGGCTCTGATGTATTGTATAAATGTATATTTTATTATTTTAGGTTCTGATGTATTGTATAAATGTATATTTTATTATTTTAGGTTCTGATGTATTGTATAGTTGTATATTTTATTATTTTAGGTTCTGATGTATTGTATAAATGTATATTTTATTATTTTAGGCTCTGATGTATTGTATAAATGTATATTTTATTATTTTAGGTTCTGATGTATTGTATAAATGTATATTTTATTATTTTAGGTTCTGATGTATTGTATAGTTGTATATTTTATTATTTTAGGTTCTGATGTATTGTATAAATGTATATTATATTATTTTAGGTTCTGATGTATTGTATAAATGTTTATTTTATTATTTTAGGCTCTGATGTATTGTATAAATGTATATTTTATTATTTTAGGTTCTGATGTATTGTATAGTTGTATATTTTATTATTTTAGGTTCTGATGTATTGTATAAATGTATATTTTATTATTTTAGGTTCTGATGTACAAGTACCACCAGAAGTTATTATTTTGAATTCTATAGTATTACCACATAAAGATTTAGCCGGCTGTTATAAAAATCAAATTATATTATAGGTTTCTGTATAAATTATCATGTTTCATTGCAAGTCACACATACCAAACTACTTATGGTTCTAAGCCTTTTTCAAAATTCTACTTGTTAAGTGGAGGAAGAGATTCAAAATGGTTGTGAGCTACGTTCGCGTGTGTTATTTCCACATTAGAATGATATGTAGTTTTGAAGGGCAAGTCACATTGAAGGTTTATTTAAATCACAACATATGTTATTTCTTGTTTCTCTGTTTTGGGCTATATTCATATATATACTTACAGGGATTTGGTGTATAAATGTATAAGTATACTTTGATGAGTTCTTAAACAAACATCAGGTTATCAAATTAAATTATGTAATGGGACACTATTGGTGGTCTCAAGGAGAATGGTTTGAATTCAGGGGAATTCTGCAGGTTTTTTTATTATTAGCCATAATCTTATATATAATGGTGTAAAACATTTGCCAATTATCAAAATTCAACATTATCACAAGTCATTTGTGAAAATTGTCACCGTTTTTCATTTTTCACAAGTCAAATTGACTTTAACTTAAATCATTATACTGACTTCATGATGAAGTCTTCATCTTATTCTGTATACACAAAATTATGTAAGAACATATTGGTATCACAATAGAGAATTAGATTTTTAACTGTGAGTGTAAATGTATTATATTTCTGGTAAAGACATTGGTAGGGTTAACGATGCAATTTTTAACTCCATTTACACATTACTGACAAGTATTAGGCCTAACATGTAGTATTGGAAGTATATTTCGCATTGTTAAGATTATTTGCAACTGGCTTTGTAGAACCCTCCCTTATATCTAGTTTAGAATGTGCAATTTTATGACAAATGTTATAACAGTTTTGTTGGTGTACATCTTCAAATTGTGCCATTGTCAGAAAGAACAACAATTTTGTATGATTGAAATTAAGTATGATTGCCTATGATTTTGACCTATATCAGACCTTAAATACTACGGCTTAGAATGAACATATAATTAAGAATTTTAAACTTGGCCAATAAGAGTATCTATTCATCAGTAGATATATCTGGTGTCATAAATAACATAACAGGATCCTTACATAATCTGATAAATCCGAAAAAAATTGGTAATTATCCATAAATATGCAATTAACTATTGTAAAACACTTCAGATTAAGCGTTTTTTCAATAGTTACTTAGCTTTATGAATTTTCCAATTTTTCTAGATTTTACAGGGATTCTGTTGTAACTTTATGACACCAGGTAAGTTCAATGATGAATATGTACTCATTTTGACCATTCTTCAGAACTGTAATTTTATGTTCATTCTAAGACCTAGGATCACTTCAAGTTACATGTTTTCGTTTCTGAATGCAGTATCAAAATTTATATATTTATTTTCTTTTATTGTTATTTGTTTGGAAATATAAGTATACATTTATTTTTCAATCTAAAATAGTTTATATTTTTCAACTTGTGCAAATATATTTGAACCATCAATTGTTATATTGTGTTCTGAATTTAAAGGCCAGAATGGTTAATGAAATGTGAGTTAAATCTTATGTACAGGTTATTTATTCGTTCAAGCTTGTTTTTTCTTTTCTTTGATAGGAAATTTTTTAAAACCAGAACCATGAACTAAATTAATAGAAATTAGTAATGAGCATAGAACTTGTTCGAATACTTATAATAGAGACTTTAACTATTTTTAAGATCTATTGTGTATTGTTTATTAAGTTATAAGTGGGTTTGATATTTTATTAAATTATGGTTTGTTATAAATAAATATTGTTATGTTTTATTTATTTACAAATACTGAGGACAAACTATAATGTGATAGCTAGGCCCAGTGGTGTTTACAAAAGTGACATGATCAGGTTTTCTAGAATTACAAATCAGCAAATACAAATAAATCTAAATGCTGATTGATCAATTTTGGTGTGAATTGCATGGAAATAGGCTAATTCCAAAGACTTGGAGGAATAATAAGATCTCACAAACACAAACAAGTGGTTGTCTAGCAACTTCCCTGATAAATTTTCAGTGTATCAAGGTTTGTCACCAATCTGTACCAAAAATTCAACTTTTCAAAGATATTGTTGATATAAACACAAAATTTAATAAAATTTTGACATAAACTGTCACCTCTATCTTTTAACATAAAATTTATTTTAAAAACAGATGAAGTCTTTATCGTCTATAGTTTTTATGAACAAATTTTGTCGCTTTTAAGTTAGGCCGTAACTCAAATTCCGTTCAACGAAAAATAATTCAATTCAAATCCGCAAAGATCTTATCAATGCAAATCAGATGAAATCTTTAGGGAATCTACAGTATTCATGAAAACATTTTGGCATGTTTTTACTAAGTCAAGGACAATAAATAAAAAAAAAAACTTCATCAATAAAACATCAAATTTAAATTAACCAAGATCTCATCAGTGTTAATGATCACACCAAATTTCATTTAAATCAGATAAGAACTGTCAGCATTCTCTATCGTGTTCACAAACCAATTGTAAACTGACAGAAGGACAGGGGCAACGATAATATATGACCCCAATGTGGGCGTATAAAAAAGACAGCCTTCTAAAAAACAAATTTATTCAATAAAAGAAATAATATTAAAGCAGGATTGACATCAATTAAAAACTTGAAATAGAAATGAAGAAAAGTCTGAAGTCTTCAAAAATTCTTTTCTTGATTTATTTTTTTAATAAACAAGGACCAATATAAGGAAATATTTTTTCATATTCACACAGCAATATCCAGTTGCCTTGTCAATTCCTTCAAAATTTGAGAAATGTATATGGAATCAATTGACTTAAGATCTGTGGTGTTTTGATCCACAATTTATCATTTCAGGATTTGCATTTCTAAACAATGAAATTATCTTTATGATCTTGCATTATTTTCAGTAGAAATAAAGATCATAAAACATACAAATTACTACATTTTCATTGCACAGACTACCTATAACAATGATGTAAAAGTAATACAAAATCACAGGGATTGTTTATAATATAGACAAACAATGCTATAAATTCTACACTTAATTCTCGGCTTAGACATAGATCATATTATTTTGAAGGTAGTTTGGTGAATCACAAACATTATATTCAAGCTTAATTAGCAAAAATGTAAATTATACATGAAATGATTCTAAAATATGCTTTTTACTTCTATATATCTATTTGATCAACATGAATTTGTTTTATTAATAAATTAACTAGTTTAAACTAGTTTGCGTGTTAGGCATTAACAGTTCAATATATCTCTAGATTTTTCGTCTAATAATCTTTTATTTGGAACAGGTATTTTTCCCAACCTACTAAAATAATCAAACTTGAAAATATTCATTGTTTGTAAATAATAAGTAAATAAGAAGTAATGGTATACCTATTGCTCTGTGAGTTTTATTTGTAAAACAATTGAATCGAAGCCAATCTTTAACATCAATTGACCCACTAGTATAACAACATTCATCAAAATACAACACAATAGATCAATAATAGCACTTTACTTTCAATATCTATATCAAATATGACAAATTATGGTTAGAAACATTATAAGATATCATAAAGAGAAAATCAGTGCCAATTTCAGAGCCATTTTTCTATATAAATCAGGTAAATCAAACTTACTGTAACTGAAAATCTAAAGGTTTATTTTCTTTGTTCACATCATAGCTTCATGAAATTCTTTTACTTTGTTGATTTGTAAATTATCATAATAAAAAAAATGAGACATTAGGCTTGAGCAATGACAAACATGTTCATTGGGTGCAATAAAACCAAATTTTAACTTTAAGGTTCAATGTTTCACTGAAAGTAATAAAATACAATATCAATAAGTACAGTGTAAAAACTTCTTGTTCAAAGTTCAGAATTTAAAAATAAAAAGTTCATGAGAAATTTAAATTTTGATAACTTCTACATCTACATTAATAAATTAAATAAAAAATACATTAACAAATAAAATAATAACAATAACAAAATTATATACAAATGAGGATTGCAATTCCTACACTATATATGTATTACCAGTATTCTACCTATGATCTGATCAATTATTGGAATTTTATATTTTATCTCAGGAATAATTACCCGGTAATTAAAATTAGACCAAACTTTCATTCCATTTTTTATTAGGGTTCATTTTTAATGTAGTCACTACTACAGTTAGGGTTTTAATGGCAGATTTATCATGCCAATAACCTATTGACCTAACTTGATGACATTTGCTTTAAGCAATCAAATTTAACTTGGTCAATTTGGTACATCCAATAAAAAGGCGTTTTCGAAATTTAATTTCAGTGGACTTTGTAAACTAGTCATGGAATACATTTTATGTTCCATCAAAATATCCCAGCACTGGAGTAGGAAGAAATTTGATTGGATAAAGCAGGTCTAATTTTATTTAGACTAGATAACTAGCCTACATAGTTACTTTTTGTTAATGACACTATTTTTGAAATAGCCTATCTGTAATGGCTGGATGTAATGGGAGGTTGACCAATAACCATTACAATTAAGTAAACAGGTGAATGACATAATTAGATTCTAAGCCCTCAGAGCAATTTCAAACAAAAGTAACATGTCTTCATATGTCTATGGTTAATATAAATATAACTGTGTACATATAAAATAACAGTCTTAGCAACCAAAACACCAACTCAAAATCACCCCCTACAGCCAAAGCATAATTAACATGGATTTGAAATAAGAATTTTATATGGTCATATAGAGTAATTTGAACTACAATTTGATTTACATTAAAGAGTGTAGTTGACATTCTGCTTTTTTTATTGGTCGCAAATTTCTTTTGCTCAAATTTATGAAAACTATACTCCAAAACATATCTGAAAGTTTTAACATAAAAAATCTAGCCATTAATCTTTTAACGCCAAAACTATTTTATGTTAACTTTTAAAGTTTGTTATGCTTTTTGGACGCTATTAGAAGACTACTGTATTAAAGTAAAATAAACGCCTAATTGTAGAGAAATATGTCTCCTGCTTAGTCTAAAGGTTTCAACTATGAGCCATTATAAAGCCAAACACCAAAACTAGGTCAAACTGCTTCATTAACAATTAGTAAGTATCTCTGTTTTTTTAATTAACCTTTTTAAAACAAATTCAGTTTGATCAAGGAGATACAAAGATGTAATTAGCATACTTTAGAAATATTTTCAGGTATATTTTTGATAATGAAAACTTTTTACAAAAAAGCAGAATGTCCCTTTAAAAGATGTCTTTTCCAATTTAAATCATTCAATGGTAATTTTTGTTTGCTTATGATTTGGTTTGTTGATTGTATCCATTGCTTATGTAATTGTATATGAATTTTAGATTTTTGAAAGTAGCTCTACTAATCTAAAATATTAATATTAACCTACTGTATATCAAAATCAATATCAAGCTGCTGCAGTTCTATACTATTGACAATTAAACCAAACACTTTGGTTGTTAAATTTCTTAAGGTTATGAAACGAAGCAAATAAAGCCCTAATTGCGTACAGAACAACGGGCAATATATCTCTCGATGGATGAATATTTAAAAGAAATATTTTACACACACAAAAACTTCAAGCACATTGATTTATATTTCTTATAAGACATTAATATTAAATCATACCATTCTTAAACAATTTTAAGAGGCACCAAGTGCTGCTGTGTTTCTCCATAAAAGCTTAAAATTTCATCTCAATATTTCAAAATTACACATAATCTAGTCTCATGACAGTTTTTGCAAATAAAGCAATATCATGTACCCTGTTGATACTTCATAAACACATTACAATATTCATTTAATCAAATGATACAACATTCATACCAAACAAGTACATGTACATCTAGAAATATACTCACAACCTAATAACACTGAAACAAGTACAGTTCAACAAGTATACTGGGTTTATATTAATGATGGAAGCATTTAAGTATTGATTTGGTCCAAATTATATTTAAAAATTTGCATATTAAACCATTAAAACTTCTTTGGGTTTGACAGCATTTTTTTAGAAAATTGAAATGGAATTGTTTGACAGTCATCTACAAATGATTTAAGATGGAATTGTTTCCATTTGAGTTATGTATAATATAATACGAGGTTGAACACTGTATCATTATGATTGTAAAAACATCTGTTTATATACAGTGATAACTACATATCTTCCACAGATTCCACATAATATTGATTCTCGCGTAAATAGTTTTTAACTTTCTCTGGAACTGGCAGTCTATCTATATGATCTCTTCGAACCCAGCGTAGAATCAGAAAACGACACATGTGTTGTAAAGATCTGAACTGAACAAATCTAGATATAGGATGAACAAGTTGAATTGGTAATGGTGGCATTCCAGGGCCTGGAGGGCGTAGAAAATAATGAAAATTTCCATTACGAGAATTTTCTACAGTTTGTTCAATAAATTCTTTAATAGTAACTCGACCATGTGATTCTGGTTGTGACCAAAAACTAAAGAGTCCTGAAACGAGAAATCCAAATAATACATAATCGCTGATGCCTGTTTCAAGATGTCCGTGTGTTTTATAAGACTTAAATACTGAAAATGATATTAGTTGCTAAATTTCAAGTAAAAGCTATGATAATTTCAGGACTATATCTTTCCATATAATCTTACAGTCATGCTGAATTCAGTCTGAGAAAATCTAATAACTAAAAAGTTTTGTGAAGTCCAATAAATAAATGGATTTACCTTTATTATGCTCAATACGTGTATGACGAACTATACTGTGGCTGATAAATGATAGAGACAGGATGTAGTTTTCATTAGAACTGTCTCGCACTAAAAATGATCCATCTGGTTTATTTTGCAATGTGGCTTCTGCTTCTTCATAACTTAATGGTCCCCAATACCAACCACACTATGGGTAAAAATATATCAAATTATTCCTTCCAAATAGATATTCCAATTGTAAAACAGATAAACAATAAACAAGAAGTTAGTTTATTTCGAAGTAGAAATAAAGCTAACAATTTCGAAAAGGAAGAGACAGTAAATGAAACAGAAGTTAAAACTATGACATATATTAGCAATACAAAATTTGTATTGTGAAACACTTTTATGCAAAATAGTATACAACTAATGACAATATCAGACACCTATACAAAACCGATATACATTGTATAATGTATGTCCACATAGAGATGTGAGCATGTAAAAATCACTCAGTAGAGCCAGTTTTAATTTGATTATCTCATACATTTAAAACTAAAGCACTTACATCTCTTAACTGTCTCATATTCTCTAGAAAATCTCTTCTCTTTATATCACTAGTATCTGAAAATATTCAGAAAGAGTAAATGAGATATCAAACATTCATAATTCATTGAACAAGTAATAAGAAAAAAAAATTATGGAAATAAAATAAAACTGTTTTCAGGACAGGTATCTTTGTGCATCTGAAAAAGATTTGATAACCTAAGGGAAAATTTGGTGAAACAGCTCTCCAGATTATGGAGGTTTAATCATTTGGGTTTCAGATAATCAAGGTATATTGATAGTTTAACAGATTAATAGATAAAAGCTCTCTAGTACATGAGATAAACTGATCATGTTACTAGTTCTCTAACCAGTTACCAGAAATACCGATAGTGATTAATTGATAACAGCTGCCATATATACTCATCTCAATAACTTATAACTTCCTGTTTCCTCTTTTTCCTTCATCTTATGACTAGAAAGTATGAAAATCTAAAAGTTACTATCCTCATTCCAAGGTATTTACATATATTATTAGGTAATATTTGACAACTTCATTATAAGGTCAAAATCAAACATTCTGGTATAACTATAATGTTCCTGTATTTCAGAAAAACTTATATCCAGATTACATCAATGATCAAATTTAATGTTATCAATAAGCTTATTCACAAGAATTAGACCCAGACAAAATCAAAAGATTAAATTCATTCATTATCTGGTGTTAACCGAAGCCACCTTCTCCCATTCCTTGACTTTTTCATGATAAGAGATCCCGTACTTCTTCACCACCTCGTCAACCAAATTTTCAACTTCCAAAGAAGTGAAGTTCGGATTACGAGGTTGTGAAGAAGTAACACCGCCACAAGGTAGGCCTACTCTGTTGTAGGACGCCATTTTATAGTCTGCTAATGCTATCACAAATCATGTGACGCGAGACACGACGTCATTTACGAAACGTCCTCAAATTATCTTACGAAAGAAAGATCGTAAGTCCTTAAGTGAAACAGGTGTAAGTTTTTGCATAAAATTAACTTACGAAAAAATATTTTGCGTAAACTTACGCACTTTAGTGAAACGGGGCCTTGTTCTCCAGTCAGTGAATGTGAAAAAACGCGGACATTCAAAATGCCGCCAACCATAAACAAGGCGCTGAGTTTGAAGTCGTGATTTAATTTTGTTTTAGAGACACAAAGAAATATAATTTCACCTTTTCGTGAATGGCGCAAGCCATTGCAAACACGATGTATTCTATTACGACATTACATGTCTTATGGTCAAAGTCATTATTGCACATGCACACTTCTCTCTGGGTAAGTGGACTCGGCCTGCTCAGCCCAGTGGCGCGTTTACACTTCACTGAAATTTAGCCGTGCCGTACTCGGTCCGGGCCAAGACCACTCTTCTTGTGGGACTTGGTCCAGGTAATTTGTGGCTGTCTAAACGTGGCTTATGTAGTAATAATCTAAATATTATATTCAATGCATTGGTTTATTTTTTAAATCAATGGGAATTTTTTCTTAGAGTTTGATCAAGGAAGCACAAATTCTGTGAAATCTTAACAATGAGTGTTATATAGCTAGCTTACTTAATAATGACCCTTGTATGCCCCCTTACAACAGAAACTCAATTGCAAAACTTTTTGACAGAATTTCCTTTACAAATGTGCATAATAACTTTAAAGGGGCAATCCGCTTTTTTTGTAAAACATTTTCATTATCAAAAACGTAAATAAAACTTAAAGTATGCTATTTGATCAAACTGAATTTGTTTTAAAAGAGTTACTAAAAAACTGAGACTGCTAATAGTTAATTAAGCAGTTTGACCTAGTTTCGGTGATTGGCTTTATAATATCTCGTTATATATAGTTGAAATCTTTACAAAACGTAGGAGACACATTTCTTTAAAATTAGAGTTGTTTATTTTACTCAAATCTGTACAGTAAATTTCGAACAGCTTGCAAAAAATATAACGTACTTTAACCTTTTACCTAAAGTTTTGCGTTAAAAAATCAACGGCTGGATTTTTTTAGTTAAAACTTTCAGATACACTATGGGATGCATTTCTATACATTTTGGTATATAGTTTTCACATATTTGAGCAAAAAAAGATCTATATTTTGAATCCAGATTAAACTCTTTCATCTTCTATTAAGATAGATATTTTGTAGTTCAACTAAGACAAAATTTCTAAACCTTGTTATCCTACTAACATATGAACCTTAAGTTTAAATAAGTGTTGAAATTATATTAAAATAATCATCATCAATCAGACAATCAAACAGTTTTAACTGGTCATTAATATTGATTTATTGACCTCTCAGTTGAAATTGTTAAATAGTACATCAATTAGTCAAGAGATAATAATAGGTCTATTGTTTTACTTACAGATTACTACAGATTAAGCTTAGTAAATATTGAACACAGGTCAACAAGAAATGATCTGTTCAATGCTTCAGGCTAGAATTTTTCACTTTGTATGTACATTGTGATAGAGATAAGAAAAGTCTGGAAAATTATTCTGGCATACAATGAAATGAAAATAACAAAAACATCTACAAGCTGAAGAAAAGGCTGCTGAATCAATTATTAAATGCAAGTTCTTTTTCTGATTTCAATTCAAATATAAAACTTTGATCCCAAGAAATAAAGATGACAATGAATCTATACAAAATTTCTTGTATCTTTTATTTTCAAAACACGCTTTTAGACTGAATAAGATCCAACATGTTATATATATAAGATTGGTATGACCCAAAAAATACCTATTCACCTTTCAAGTGAATCAATGGGGGGATATCAATAAGGATTGACAAAAACAAAATATTTTCACTGTTCTATACATCTTTGTGGAGCCATATAGAAATAATAAAATGGAATCTAAAAAAACATATTGTTAAGAATAAAAATGTAATAATTTTAGTTTAAAGAAATCTTACCTAATAAAGTGTCTTCATCCTCTTCATCATCTTCATCATCACCAACATCATCTTTGCCACCTGAAGCACTGTCCTTTTTAATCTGATTCTGTAACTCTGACCATGAAACATGTATCATTTCACGACGTTGATGACGTGACGGAAGTTCAGGAACATTGTCGTCTGCATTAGTTGCACCAAGGGTATCGGACATCATAGTTGGGACCACCTCTATAATTGAAGAGCTGACTGGTCTTTCAATGACATTGGATTTAGAATTTTCTGTGTCCACAGTAGGAGATAATGTCATTTCTTCTGGTAATGGAAATTGAAAAGATTCACTATGTAGGCCTACATCACACAAATCATCAACAGCATTCAATTCTGTTTCTAAATCTAAAGATATATTTTTTTCTATGTTAGAATGTTCAATCGTTTTCCTGTCCTTTTCAGATCTATTAATAACATTTGATTCATTACTTTCTATATCTTGAATAGAACATTCAGTCTTTTCAACACAAATCTTCCCTGTAGAATTATTTGCCTCATTGGGGTGTTCCCCTTCTAGTGTTTGTAAGTTTATTATAGGGTTATAATTTGTTTGTTTAGTTGTGTTCATGTTAGTATGATGCACCACATTGTCAATATTAGTTTTAGAATTCAACATTGACGTGTCCTTGTCATTTGTCACACACGGAGCAGTCACACTGTGGTTATAATTAGCACCATTATTTGATATGTTTTCACATGATATAGAATTGGTGGATATTTGGGTATGCGGATGAGCATTAGTTGTGATAAGATGAGCATGAAATGATATATTTGGGTCAGTGACCTCAACAGTGTCAAAATCACAACCATTAGAATGAAGATCTTGTTTGCAACTATTAGTCGAAATATCTACAATGGAGATTCCTTCCCGTTCATCCTCTGTAGTGGACTGTTTTTCACCACCAATATTTGGAAGTTTCTCTTTTGGACAAGCATATAAATTTTCTACCTCTTTATTCTCTCCATCCAAAGAATTCGACGAATTTGAGTTCTGAACAACTGTACTGGATAGATTTACTTGGGCAGCAAGTGCTCGAGCAGATTCTCTTGCAGAATCAATGTCTTCATAAATGGAACAACCAATTCTCATTAACAGGAGTTCATCTTCTTTTAATGCTTTTCTTGGCTGTGATGAAGAAAATGGTTCAAAATCACTACTATGGAAGGAGTCTCGATATTCTTCCGTTTCACTTCGACAGCTTTCAATGGCTGATGCTGACATACGTTTTTTACTTACATCAGCTTCTGCTTTAGAATACTGTCTTTGTGGCAAAGGTGGAGGAATATTTTCAGTATTATCAAAACATCGACTCAAATTCAAATTTTTAGTCAAGTTACTTTCAGAAACACATTTATTTGGAAGAGTCTTGAATTCAGTATTAAGTTGTTTACCTTCACTGGGTATCTCAGATGATTTTTGGCTAGTTACTGACTTATTAGACTGATATTGTGATCGTTTTCGGATCAAAATGGAACTATTAGCATATAAACTGTCTTCAATTTCCTCTGGTTTGGAATCTGAGAAAACAAGCTGTGAATGATGAACATTGTCATTAGTTTGGATTTCTAAAGGTTTTTTAGTATACGGACAACTGTTTGGTCTATTTAATGATTTGTTACCATCCACTTCTCTTAGTTCAACAGAAGGTTCACCAATTGAAACTGTGGTGTCACTAAAAACTGAACTAGTGGTACTACTAGCATGACATCCACTTCCATGTTCTCCAGGCCGTGGACTGCCTAGACCACTATCTCTACTCCCTTCCTCAATAACATGATCTGGGCAATAAGAGCTCTTATTAAGTATTGGTGCCTTAGGTGGTTTATCAAGCAGAATTTCTCTTGAAGACAGTGGTAACTTCTCAGAAAAAGATCTTTGAACAGCTGGTTTTGAATCAAGTTCCTGACGATGGTTCACCACTTTTCGGCGGATTTCATCAAGGCTTTCATAGCCTGGCTCATTATCGAGAAGATTTTCATCAAAACTGTCATTATCAGTACAAGATGCTGAAGATATACCATAGTGAGTATGCTCGAGTTTGGGTGACTTCGATAACAAATCAACTGGTTTATATTTCAAAGCAAAGGATCCGTTGGACAACAGAATAACTTCCTCTTTGTCTGACCTATTTCGGCTCCCTCGAACAGAACTAGATCTTGTAGCCATATCAAGTCTTTGAACATTTTCATAAATTGGGTTGTCATTCTTCCTTTTGGATTTCACTTTTACACCACCAGGAGCCAAGTCATATTTCCCTTTACTATTGATTCGGAATATTTTCTTAATTTTAGTCAAAAAATTTCCATTTCCTGATGATGATCCAGGTACTGGTGAAAGGTGGGTGTTTGGTGGTAGAGTCTGACTTTTACGAGGTGTACTCGTCCTATTCGCTTCTGCCATTTTTCCATCAGCTATCAAACCTAAAAGGATAAGCGTTAAACTCTTTATAAGAATATCCAACAGTAAATATTTCCTATAAATGCAGATTATCAAGTCTTTCAGACATAACCACATTAATGCAATTATAAATAGATTATAAGTATTGCACGAGAAATATTTTATACCCTCATAAAGTTATGGAATGCCAAAACAGAAATCCAACATAAAAAAAATCACATACCAAGAAGTTGAAATTTTATACGATGAAACTCATATTATATATCAAAATCTTTAATCATATATCAGTACCAAGAAATTCAGATCAGGTACCAAGAATTTTAATCATATAACAAAATCATGTACCAAGACTAGTAGTATAATATCTTTTATACCTATTTTTTCTAATCATATATCTGTACAGTTTTATTATTTTATTGAATAAGTTGACCTCTTTAACAATAGCCCTTTTTACAAGGGGAGGGGGGGGGGGCTATGATTAGTAGGCTACAGGATAGGAAACACACTCGGGAAATGCAGATCTATGAAGGCTGTGTTAGAAAATCTGTCTGGACTCTAAATAGCCCACAAATCATCTAAAAACAGATCGTGCCTACCCCGTCTGTTACTGAATAACAGGACTAATTGTTTATTGCGCTTTATTTTATGACAAATTACTAAAATATAACTTCTTTATACAGTCCACATTTTATCGTGCCTACTCTGTCTTTTCAAGGTCCATCAGCAGACCAATTGACCTGTTATAAAATGGTGGCCGTTGTCTGCACACTGTCAAAAGACCTATCAGAGTAACAAAGCTCTAAATCGAATCAGATTAACTCAGATAAAAACCAATGAGTTTCATAAGTCATTGATAAAAATGACTTTAGTTTTAGCGCTGACGTCACAAGTTTGTGTGGTCACGTACATCTTGAAAGATCATGTGAATCTTGGACCATAAAAAATAATATCTTGCAACATGATTTTAATGTCTTGGTATACAGTCAAATAACCCAATTTCGTCCTAACCTATTTTTCGTGGATTTCCGGAAATGATTACCGGTAATAATTTACATGTGAGACCTTGCGTGACCTCCGCATTTGCTTGTTTGATAAACATGGGTTTTCTCTACAATATCAGCTAGTAGAATGAATCCAGTAGTTTTAAAACAGGTAAAATGTATTAATGTATACTTTGACAAATACAAAATGGCGGATTTCACTTATTACCAAACGTCACCATTTTTTGATGGAATTGTCACTAGTTATTATGAATTGATATTAAAGATAAATACTTAGAGAAGTTAATTATACCATCTGGTATCCATACAACATGTTTTTCTAGACCTACTTATAGATCAAACAATGTACACGAAAATAGGTGACGCATTCTGCCGCCGTTGCCGAGTTGGTTGCTCATGAAATATGGGTCAAAGTGAAGGATTCATAAAGAAAATTGAAATAAACCAATTTTAATTATCTTGTAGAATATCTTAGGAAACATCTAAGACATAAAAAAAAAACTTCGTTTTTTTAACTTTGACGAAATTCGGTGTTGAATCCAAGAATATCCATGAAATTAGGTTACACCACTGTATAAATAAAATCCTTAGAACATAAGGAATTCCATTTACATTTCTTACAGTTACACAAAATATTTTTTGGAATGTAACTAAAAAAAGTGCTTGGAACATAATTAAAATTTGTGACAATATTTTTTTGGGAGATAAAGATAGAATACAGTTCTTGGTTATAACAAATTATATACCGTTCAGTCCTATGATCTGACATAGATGTATTATTCTTCCTGGATCTAAACACACCATCATTGACGGAGACAGGAAACAGTGAGCAAGAAGATAGTAGGCTAACGTAGCCTAACTGTGATGGTACAATACAGAGAACATTGTTTAGAAAATGAATCATATTCATAATGTAGATCTACAAAAAAGAGATACAGCATGATAAAATCAATAAATTGCAAACCCACCTGTAAGACAATAATCTTTTCATGTTGAGTGTAAGGTAAAAACTTTTAGCTGAAATGTCAGAATAATTAACCATCTCATTATTCAGTCGAGTTTTATTTCCTAGTCGACTGATCCGGAAATGATATTTTTAACAGCCTTGACCTCGAGTCCATAAAATTGTAGTTGAAAAACGAAATATTGTTACACAACAAAAAAGTTCAAAACAAAATAAAAGGACAACTACAAAACTCAAAGCAAAGCAACCAATTTTGTTTTTAGAATGATATGATGAAAAGAATTCATAATAAATAGGAAAGCTTCGTTCCATATAATATCACGGTCAAGATACTTAAACTTCGTTCACCCATGCGCATTGTAAAATAGAAGCCACGAGGTTTTGGAAGAACGTGGTGAATCTATAAACTGTAAACATGCTGGTGTTATTTGAAACTGCGGCTGGCTATGCCGTATTTAAGGTACCATATTCTGATATAAAGTATCCATGTCACCCCTTTAAACCATATGTTGGTGTGTCAATCTATGACCATTTCATCGAACCACGTGTGGGTTGGAGTTCGTTCAATTAAAGTATACCCCCTCCCCCCTTTGCTTTCCGGCTTTCCGCAACTGTACCACTCTCGGGGGCTGATGTTGGCATCAATTAAAGCATTTACCAATAATGACCTACTAATTATACAGTGGTATAACCTATTTTCGTGGATATAAGTTAAAAAAACGGAATTTTTTTTTTAAGTCTTGGATGTTTCCTCGGATATTCTACAAAATAATTAAAATTGGTTTATTTCGATTTTCTTTATGAATCCTTCACTTTGACCCATATTTCATGCGTAACCAACTTGGCAACGGCGGCAGAATGCGTCACCTATTTTCGTGTACAATGTTTGATCTATAAATAAGTCTAGAAAAACACATATGGATACTGGGTGGGATCAATAACTTCTCTTAGTATTTATCTTTGATATCAATTCATTATAACTAGTGACAATTCTTTCATTGCTTCAAAGAACCACAATTTAAAAAAAAAAATAGTAACTGACAAAATAACATACGTAGCGTGATTTATTGCTAAAAGTCACTGAAACAACATAAGAATATGGTCCACTTTGTGTTCCATAGAAATTTTCTGCTGACACGGAATCCGGTAGTTGATCACGTGACTTCATTTGTTGGACTAAATTCTAGCAGACGAATTCCGATTACCGCTTGGGATTATAAGGAAATTCGGCCGATAAAAAATGGTGACGTTTGGCATACATGTGTAATCTACCGATGTTGTTGGGTTTCTACCGCTTTTGCATGTTGTCTACTGCTCTACCGGCGGGATACCCGATTCTTCCGATTTTTTCTTTTTTCTTGATCAAATTTTCACGAGACCTATCCGTTTTCATTGTTCAAATTCTCTACCATAAATCAACAAAATATCTATCATCACTTGTATCTTAATTGCCAGTAACACGCGTTAATCTCATCATGTAATAATATTATCATTGCCTCATTAATTAATCCCCCAATTAAGATGGTAATTTGATCTATTTTCACCCGATAATGTGTATTTTAAGCCCACAAGACACACTTTTTGTAACAACATCTGGTAGATTCTACTTTCGCTTTTATAATAAATTTTACGGTAGCACTACTTTTACTAAAAAACGAAATCTTGAAGTCTTCTCAGTATTTTTATGCCGTCAGTGCCAATCTGCAAGATCTATAATAGACCTATATAACATAGACGTCGTTTCAGAATTATTTTTCATTATCGGTAGATTATCATACGCGACTGGATGTCTAATTCTTATGTAAACTCGAACTTCGTTTCATAAACTCGTTTTGTAATTTTACTGTAGCCTGTAAACATTCATTTGATTGCCTGCATAACAGGCTTACTTATTACAAGTCTTACCATTCCGAAGAACGTCAAAATAGAAGCGGAAAATTCAATTCAATACTTCGTGAGAGTGTTGCAGGAAGTATATAATGATCAGACTGGAGATATTTAAGATGTCATGAATTACACCTTTGGAAAAAGTAACATTGCCAGTACATATTATTTACTAAATATTGCTTTCAGAACATACTGATTTTTAATATGATATTACATGTAAGCCTACCGGTACCATTTAATTTAGACGGCTGGGATCATGCTTGCTTTCTTGTTTTCAAACATCATTTCACCTTGACATTATTTTGGATTCAATCAATACTGAAGAATGACAATATCAAATTTTTTTTGGGCCCCTAAATTTGAAATATCAGGCACTATTTCTAAAAATATCCATAATTATACATTGTTAATTTTAACTGTGTCATGTAGGCCTATGATCAATTTAATAAATTTACAAGGCTTAGAATCAATTTGGAGTTTCAGATCACAAATTTACGCGCTTTGGAAAAATCTCCTGACACTCAATCTCCAGATTTTTCAAGGCAAATCTCCAGATTTTTTTTCCTGACCTGTACACATGTATGCGTTTGGTAATAAGTGAAATCTGCCATTTTGTATTTGTCAAAATATACATTAATAAACTTTACCTTGCTTGAAACTACTGGATTCATTCTACTAGCTGATATTGTAGAGAAATCCCATGTTTATCAAAACAAACTAATGCGGAGGTCGCGCAAAGTGCTCATGTAAATTATTAATCCTTTCAGGAAATCCACGAATTAAGGTTTCAACGAAATTAGGTTACTTGACTGTATACTTCTTTGACTACTTCGTTTTTTACGATTTTTCTTTGCAGCTTCTGAGCGAAAAGAAACTACAAAAAGCAGAAAATTTGTTTAATGATTTTGAAAGTCCAGAAACTGCAAGTAAAGTGTAAGTATGATATTAATGTATATGTTTAGCTTTTTTAAATGCAACCAATTTTTCATTTCCAATCCATACTTTGAAAATTTTGCTCTAGAATCCTTTTTCAATGATGACACTTTACATGATAGTCATATTTATTAAATGATAAATTTTGAAATAGTTTTTATTTTATAATTCTATCATATTTGATAAACATGATGGTTTGAGGCATTTGTCTGAGAAATCTGGGAACAGACACTTTGTTAAAGTACAGTGGTGTAACCTATTTTCGTGCATATAAGGATTCAAAACCGAATTTCGTCAAATTTCAGATGGTTGCTCAGATATTCTACAAAATAATTAGAATTTGTTTGTTTTGATTTTCTTTATGAATCCCTCACCTTAACCCATACTTCATGAGTAACCAACTCGGCAACGGTGGCAAAATTTGTCACTATTTTCGTGTACAATGTTTGATCTATAAATAAGTCTAGAAAAAGACGTTGTATGGATACCCAGTGGTATAAGTAACTTTTCTAAGTTTTTATCTTTAATATCAATTTATGACAACTAGTGACAATTCCTTCAAAGAACCACGATTAAAAAAAAAAATAAATAGCGACTGACAAAATATGATATGTAGCTAGAGTTAAAAGTCATTGAAAAAACATAAGGATACTGCCCACATTGTGTTCCATAGAATTTTTCTTCTGATGCGGAATACGCTATTTGAGCATGTGACTTCATTTGTTGGACTAAATTCTAGCAGATGACACTTGGAATTCTGTTTAAATCTAGGGATTATAAGGAAATTCAGCCGATAATAAAAAAAAATTGTGACGTTTGGTAATAACTGAAATCTGCCATTTTGTATTTGTCAAAGTATACATTGATACATTTTACCTTGCTTGAATCTTCAGGATTCATTCTACTAGCTGAAATTGTAGAGATAACTCATGTTTATCAAAACAAGCAAATGTGGAGGTTACGTGAAGTCGCACATGTAAATTATTCATCATTTCATCAAGCACGAAAAATAGGTTAGCACAAAATTAGGTTATTTGACTGTATTGATTATCTTATCTAATCCAAAATTGCAGTAATTTAGATATTTTACCTTTTACAGAGTTAAGTTGAAACATTTCCAGAAATTTGGTGACATGACAGAAGCTCTATCAGGTAACTATACTCTTACTACATTGATTTCTGAATAGAATTTTGTTAATCATTTTTGAACAATTTAAAAAAATAATTATAAAATACTCCTGATAGTCTTACATTGTCTTTGGGTTGATGAAAATGTCAACCACTGAAAAAGTTATTGCAAGTAGACATGATTTTACAGAGGGGAATTTTAAGTCCAAAAAGTAAGAAGTGTCTCATTTCAAATGTAAAATCATTGTAGAACCGCCTATATGGAGTATAGAGTGCAGCATCTTTCCAGAGACTGATGCAATTAAAGGGAGACAAATCTAAATTTCAGACCTTTAACCTTAAGACTTAAACAAGTGAGGTTAATTTAGAATCTGTGGACCTGAATACATTCTAAGACATTTGGCATTTGAATATTTATTAAATGAGAAAGATAAGAAATATAATTCTAATACAATAATTTGTTCTGATAAAATTTTAAGTTGTGATGTAACAGTTATTGTGAGATAGCTTAGAAACTCCTGTGATTTTGTTCTGAAAGACGGTTTTTGAAGCATTGTAAAGAATATTGCACCCTTCCAGCTCTAAGATATAATTTGATCGTATTGGCTTCTCATCCTACAATTTTTGTTATAGCTGCTACTGCTGCTGTAGAGGGTAAAATGAGTAAAACTTTAAAAAAGGTAATGAAGAAATTAGTTGCAGCTGATGCTCAAGAAGAATTAGCTGTATCTGATGCTAAATTAGGCAATATTATTAAGGTAGGTTCATTTGAATATTTGTATACATCACAACCTCTGGGGAAGACCATGTTTCAAGTTTGGATTTGATATCACCATCTCCATATACACCACATATCTAAATGGTTTAACTGGACATGTCTTGTCTACTTATGTTTTGTATTATTTTCAGGAAAAATATCAATTACCATGTGTATCTAATTCGTCCATACAAGAGTTAATGAGATGTATAAGAAGTCAAGTGGATAGTTTAATTACTGGTTTACCTCAAAAAGAAATCATGGCCATGTCTTTAGGTTTAGCACACAGGTAAGTAAGGTCTTTAACATCTTTCTAAAACCATTGGTTTAACCACATGTATGTCTAGACTGATGCCATATTTTTCTTGTATTTGATATTTTTGTGATCCTTTCAGTTTATCCCGATACAAGTTAAAATTTAGTCCAGATAAAGTAGATACAATGATTGTACAGGCTATTTGTAAGTATTTTATTAATGTATCATTCTAGTGAGAGCCTTATTATCCTTCCATACAAATTGTCAATGATGGATTATTAGCAAACTATAACTGTATGATTTATGATGATACTTTACTTTCGTCACTACCTCTGAGACAATTTACTTACTAATTAAAACCCTTTAATCAAATCTAAGAGTAGATCATAGAAGAAAATAGTTACGAAAGCAAGAACACCGCAATATTCAATGATGACACTGTACATGACGAGTCATATTTATTAAGGGATAAATTTTGAAATAGTTTTTATTTTATAATTCTATCATATTTGATAAACATGATGTTTTGAGGCATTTGTCTGAGAAATCTTGCAGTACTTTGTACTTGATTAATTGAATTTAAGTGTTAGGATTCAAATTTAAACAAAATGTTTGATTTTGTAGCCTTGTTAGATGATTTAGATAAAGAATTAAATAATTACACAATGAGAGCCAGAGAATGGTATGGATGGCATTTTCCAGAACTTGGTAAACTTATTTCAGATAATTTAGCTTTTGCTAAAGTTGTAAAACTGATGGGTAAGTCTGGGTCAATACCATTTATTTGCTTTTTGTAAGAGATATTCTGTAAATTAAATTTCAGAAGGGTATATATGTCTTGTCATATCAGTTGTCCACTGTACCTCCTGTTAACTTCTAATGAAAGACAATATTATGTTCTATATATTAGGTGATAGAACAGAAGCTGCTTCGACAGATTTCTCTAATATTCTACCTGAAGAGGTTGAACAGGAGGTTAAAGATGCTGCAGAAATCTCCATGGGAACAGAAATATCAGTTGAAGATTTAGAAAATATTAAATATTTGTGTGATCAGGTACATACTGTAGCAATAACTTTATTATTAAGTATTATTTAGAAACTGTTAGATTATGAAGTAGTATATGAATTTCTTAGCTTTGTTCAAATGTCATTCACCAAATAAGTAAGGAGTAGATTTGATTGGCCATTTGAATTGGGAATAGCATATTCTGCCATTGTATTCCCTTATAGAGATAATATTCAGTATGACCATTCATTGATTTATTTATTGATGTTTAGGTTATAGATATAACAGATTATAGAAACCAACTGTATGATTATTTAAAGAATCGAATGGTAGCTATAGCACCTAATGTTACAATATTAGTTGGGGAATTAGTTGGGGCCAGACTTATAGCTCATGCAGGTATGTACATTAACAGATTCTAAATTTTCATTTTCATAAAGGCAGTCCTTAGGACCTTGTACCAAAAACCTTCAAATATTATGCTCAAATTACTTAATTACATATTTTGTGCTGTGATTTGAATTCAGTCTGCCAATCTGCCAATGATGTATACAAGTATTTACATACTATCTGTGATGAAAAACAACTTTATATTCGTCACTACCTCTGAGGCAGTTGAATTATTTTTCTGACATAATTTACCTTTACATGGTGAGGTACTGAATGACTGTTTTATTTTCTTTTAGGTTCACTGCTTAATTTAGCCAAACACCCATCATCCACAGTTCAGATATTAGGAGCAGAAAAAGCCTTATTCAGAGCATTAAAAACTAAGAAAGACACACCCAAATATGGTTTAATTTACCATGCTTCTTTAGTTGGTCATTCATCTACCAAATTAAAGGGGAAGGTTAGTAGTATCCAGGATACAGAAACTTTTTAAATTTTAGAAAATTTAAACAAGACTGACAAACACATAAGTATAAATATTCTGTCTTGTCTGCAGTTTCCACTCAAATATTGTCAGGTGTTATTTTTATACGCCCACATGCTTTTGTGGGCACAAAAGAAGTTACATACAATTTTCAATGGATTTTGATGAAACTTAGTGTATTAGGATTGATAACACAGCAGTCAAGTTCGAATTTGACGATTGTTCAATGAACGGTTTTGAGTTATTGCTCTTGACTAAGTAAAATTGCGTCAAAATTTGGCTGTGGGCTACAATTTTAAATGGACTTTGATGAAACTTTGTGTGAGCATTGGGATTGATAAGACAGCAGTCAAGTTTGAATTTGACAAGTTTTGTTTTAGTTATTGCCCTTGACTAAACAAAAATTTATCAAATTTGACTTACACACGATGGGGGCTACAATTTTTATCGGATCTTGATGAAATTGGTATGCAGGTATATATTAATGAGATCTCAGTAAAAGTTCAAATTTGTTTGTTAGTTAGTGTAAATTTGATGGTACGTTATTATGTATCTTTGAAAATTTTAGACACGAGAGGAGTGTGATAACTCAATGCTTCTGGGTTATGGCTATTGATTTAAAAAGATTTGTGGAAAAACTTGATGAGATATTCAGAGTTTTTTAACTACAAATGCATAATGAAGATCTTCAATATGAGAAATTTTGTATTATTATAAAGATCTTTAATATATTTTTGGTCAATACTGACAGCTGTAAGTGGGCGTATGTTTACCTTAATACCTTGCCTGGCAAGCTATCTTTAGTTTTATTAGCATGCAGGGTAGGTTGGATATATGAATGTTAAATTGTGATTATGACATTGTGAAATCAAAGAAAGATTTAGCTGGATCTGGCAGAGATTGTAACAAGTAATTTTACTGTGAAACCTAAGGTTTTGAATAGTTCTTATGAGAGCTGTTTATATTTCAGATGTCACGTATGTTAGCAGCTAAAACAGCACTAGCTATAAGAGTAGATGCTCTAGGTGAAGATACAGATGCTGAGTTAGGATTAGAACACAGAGCCAAGCTAGAACTAAGATTAAAAGATTTAGAAGAGGGAAAGGTAAGAGTTTGCAGCAGAATAATTAATAAACAGGATGTTATCAGACGACTTCAGAGTTTTGCAACTTTGCATGCTGGGTGATACAAAAATTACTTCCCTTTACACTGAGCAATGTTCATTTAAGGTATGTACCTTACATTGAAAGTAATTTATTTGTTTTACAGACTAAAAAGATCAGTGGTACTGGTAAAGCAAAGGCAAAATGGGACAAATATGAAAATAAAAGGTAAGTTACATAGTTTGTTTAGAAATGTTCAACTTGGGATACTCCTGCTTCTGCTGCTTTTCAATGACACTTTACATAACGAGTCATATTTCGTTAGGGATAAATTTTGAAATAGTTTTTATTTTATAATTCTATCATATTTGATAAACATGATGTTTTGAGGCATTTGTCTAGGAAAAATAATAGTTTACAGTATCTTATAAACCTCTCATAAATTCCTTGGGGTAATTATCTACTATTTTTGACCACGTTTGTTGATGAACATTGCCAGAATATCTCTTCCTGAGAATGTTATGGATTTATATACAATAGAGGTCAATTTGATTAACTCTGAACACTTTCGGGTTTAAATTGTGTTCAATTGTCTTAAATTTTCTATTGTAAATAAGATTGGATATATTGACGACCTAGCCCCCCGTTGTCTTCATCATCACTTACTTTACTGACTCACAAAGTTCGAATGAGTGTGGCTTAAAGTTTTTAAACCCATTCCCACTGGGATGTGGGATCTTATATAACATAAAAACCATATGCCTGTTTTTATCCCACACTTAGTAGAGTAGTTATAAGAAACTGAATATCTGATAAACTGATAACTTGAAACAGATTGATAATCGTAATAATGATATATATTACAGCTCCATCAAAACATATGATGAATTAGCAGATTCCACAATTAGTAGTCTGGGTAAAAAACGAAAACATCAAGAATCACCAAAAGAGGAGCAAATGGAAACTGAGAAAAGTCAAGAAGGTAAATATAGCTTAAGACATGGAGAGTAGACACACTTGAGAACTTTTATGTTTTCTCACTTTACTTACGAACAGATAATTCATTAGTTTAAATTATCACTTGGCATTTTGGCACCCAACAGAGTCATTGAAGCAAAAAAACTATCAATTGGAATTTCAATGACACTTTACTTGATGAGTCATATTTATTAAATGATAAATTTTAAGATAGTTTTTATTTTATAATTCTATCATATCTGATAAACATGTTTTGAGGCATTTGTCTGAGAATTTTTATGTATTGTGACTCTTACAGCTCTGTCTATCCCTGTCATGATGTCATGTTGGCTTTATTATTTTGACAAATATAGGTTAACGATGTGGAGTGTAGACGAAGGGTTAACTTTGCATAAACAGGAAACTTAAATGTATTCTCACTTTTCTTCTAGAGTGTTTCGAAAATTTATTGATTTGAATTTGGGAAGTTCATAAGTTAGCAACTAGAAATCCATTGTGTCATAAAAGAAAACTATCTATTCGAATTTCAATGATGACACTTTACATGACGAGTCATATTTGTTAAATGATAATTTTAAAATAGTTTTTATTTTATAATTCTATCATATTTGATAAACATGATGTTTTGAGGCATTTGTCTGAGAATTTCTATGGGATGTGACCCTTACAGAATTGCTTATGTCAAAATTCTTGCAGGCTTTTGGTAACTTTGTTGAGACCGTTCAAGATTAACACCAGAATGCATTTCATTTTAGTTATGTTATAAAATCAACTAAATTAACGATTTATTTATTGTAGAACCCATTAAAAAAAAAAAGAAAAAGAAAGCTGATGATTCAATGAATGTGTCACAAGAATCTATAGGTAATTCATTCATCTTTCTTTATAAGTCTTTAACTTCTAAATTTCTATTTAATACGCGTCAATATAGGCTGCTGTTAAATGATTTATTACCAATACTAAAATGTCTGGTTTGTAAAATGTAGCAGATTTATTTCTTAAGATTGGTTTGATTGGGTCAATTCATCAATTATTTTATTTCTCTAAACATGTCATCCTTTTTGTTTTATAGGATCACCAAATGGACATGTTGAATCCAGTGAGAAAAAGAAGAAGAAAAAAAAGAAAATCAAACAGGAAGATTCTGATTAACAAGAGGCAGTAAAGGGCTTTTGGAATTGAAAGAATATGGCATTTAAATGGAGGATGCAATCAGTTATTGAACTTAGTCCTGGGTACATTCCCAAATTGTCTTATTGTTGATGTTACAGACTTGTATATTGTTGATATGGCACTGCTTATATTTAAATTCATTTTTTTTTAAGTATGGATTCGACCTGATTAGTACAGAAAGGGGTTATTTCCCTTAATATTTTTGAAGCAGGAAGCTGATACTTCATGTTTTTTAGTCAATCTTTTATGATTTGTATACTCAGAACTTATTCATCTATAAAAGGTTGATTCATTTTTATTTGGTGGCTTACTGTTTAAGAGAAATGAAATTTTTCAGCCTCAACAATGTAAAAAAAATTCATTTATCCAGGAAAACTGATGCTACTTTGGAATGACTTCCATTTCCAACAAAAACTTGAATATATGTTCAATGAGAAGTTATTTTGATGTTGCACAGCTGCTAAAAGAGGGAGGTTATGAATGAAATCAAAGTATTAATAGAAAATGATTTTGTACACAATATCTTGTTAATGAGAGAGATGTGTAGTTAGCTATTGCGGAATAGAGAAAAAAATACTTTCATTTTATAAAGTGTTCATGTAAATACGCATTTATATATCATTCACTTAACATGACATAATGTCTTCACATAATCAATAAATAAATATTGAAATGAAATTATTAACCATGTATTATTAAGACAACTTGTTCACCTTCTTACTAATCTTGTTGACACCGAGTTAACTCAACAACCAAGTACAAAATGGAGATCAAAGATGTTTTGAAGGGTAAAAGGGTATTGGTAAGGTAATTTGATTGAATAACTCAAAAAGAGTAATTTAAAGTCATATTGTTGCTGTAGTAAGCTTTTTATCCTAACTGAATTTACTTCAAGTAGTGGAATTTCCCCTATTATTTTTTAATATACGAAACTTGTGTACTTTCTGTCAAACAGTGAAATCAAAACTTCTGTTTAATAAAATTATTCATTGAGCTCTGGAATACATATTTATTTTATGTAAAATTTAAAAAATAATTTAGAACAATAGAATCGATTTTGATACATATTTATAGCACTTAAAATTTAAATAATGATGGAGATTTCAAGTTACAATTATTTAATAGAAAAAATATTATTTCAGCCTCATATTCTAAAATGAGTTAGTTTTGATCAGTATTTGAATCAATGTGAATATGGGTTTGGAATTCATTACTATAGTCTGCTCGAAGTAGGGGTAGGGTTAAACTTCGTCCACTCAGAAATAGGTACATTTCTACCACTCTCAGCTATCCTCTGCAACATTTCACTGGCTATCCAATGACTAGTTTCAGCTGAAATAAACAATGAGCTTTACTTAATTACTTGCTAAGAGAAGACAGTATAGTGAAATTCGCTTAAGACCAATTGATTGGCACCCATCAGAGCTCCCATGATTGTGCTCATGTTAATCTTTATACTTAGTGGTGGGTAAATAATAAATACTTACGGAAATGTTTCTGATAATACTTTATTCGCTCATAAACTTTACGTAACCCAACTTGACTGGCATAAAACATAGGTCCTCCTCTATATCTGGGAAAACCAAAACCATGTAGCCTGTAGATTAAGTTTTGAGTAGCTTTAAATCATAGGAATTTAAACACCTATTTCCTTAATGCTTAAATATAATGATTAGATCATCTTAGTACAACAAAGGTATATTTTGTTTATCACCTGACTACTTAGATCAATGGCTCCATCACTGATATCTCGTTAAATTGTATTATGTAAACCCAATGGTAAACACAGCACGTAACAATATCACTCAAACAAAATAATAGATATTTACCAAATAGTATCAATCTCTTCCGGTTTCGAGGCTATTCCATCTTCTAAACATCTAAAACCTTCATTTATAGCAGCAAACATACATCTTTCTATAACTTCCTTTTGTACAAGAATAACATTTGTTTTTATTGAAACCCTACATATGATCTTTTGAAACAAGGTCTCTAAGACTGTTTTATACGCCCACATCTCTCTATTGTCAGCACCCCTGTCCGTTAGTCCGTCAAAACTAGAGTTTTTGATGGAATCAAATGAAATTCGGTATGTGTATACATATTCATAAAACGAAGATCAAGTTCGAATTTGAGCTATTTTCGACCATTAGAAGCAGAGTTATAGCCCTTGCCCCAAAATCTTGAATATGCTATTACTCTTAGGTTTCAAACGATTTTGATGAAACTTAAAATGGATGTTATTGGACCCAAATCGAAAGGTTTGAGAAAGTTTAGTTTACTTCTGATTAAATTTAAGGCTTTTTCAAGATTTAGACCTCTTACGTCAGTTTTGAGGAGTTATTGCCCTTTAACCTCTATACAGTAAGTGCTTCTATCAACATCACTTGCTCGTAAACACTCTAGTTTTGAAGGAATCAAATGAAATTCGGTATGTGCATACATATTCATGAAACGAAGGCCGTCAGTCAACATTTGCTTGTAAACACTCTAAAAACTAGATTTTTTGATGGAATCGAATAAAATTCGGTATGTGTAGACATATTCAAAAAACGAAGATCAAGTTCAAATTTGAGCTATTTTCGACAGTAAGAAGCAGAATTATTGCCTTGCCCCAAAATCTTGAATATTTACCATCCGCATGCCACGGTGGGCGTATATGGCTGTGGTCAACTATCTTTTCAGTAGTTGAGCAAGCATAGAAATGTCCATTAAAAAAATTGCTCCTATTTTTAGTTAAAACAATTCCATTTATCTGCATTGCGTATATACCCAAAAGTCTTCACAGACTGATAAAAAATTGAGCGATTTTTTGCACTGTACCGATCTTAAAATAGCAAGAGTGAGTATTCCCAGAAAAGGTATTTCCCAACAGTCATTGGCTGGATTATGTCTTTACATGGTTATGTACATATGTAGTTGGTATGTTGAGTACTATGGATCGTGAACAGGTACACACCTGTGCTTAGTGGACAAAAGGAATCTGGGCTTAAGAATTGCTATCACATAACACTGAAACCGAAAACCTGTACCCAATATCAACCCAAAAGAAAGAAGACTAGAGCGTTATTGGATGAACCAACTTCAAACTGTTCACCCAAATGCCTAAATATCCCTTACAAAAATTGGGGCACGGTAAAACCGTACAGTAAAATTTTTAGCCATACAATATTACCGTACAGTAATTTGAGACAGTTTTACTGTACGGTAAAACCAGAACCGTACAGTAAAACCATAACCGTACATTAAATCCATAACCGTACAGTAAAACCATAACAGAACAGTAAATCCATAACCGTACAGTAAAACCATAACAGAACAGTAAATCCATAACCATGGCTGAATCCTCCGTTAATTCAGCATTAGTCATCGATTCTTCTTGATCGGACACTAGTACTGATGATGAATACTTAACATACTGAACCTAGGCGTACAAGGAATGGAAATAAGGAAATCAACGTAAATTTGACGGTCGCGCAATAATTGGCAGCCATTTGGTTACTAATGAGACACTTTTTAATTTTCTCAGAACTGCTACAGAAATGATTGAAACGTGTCAAATTTTTGTCACAACTAATCTCATTGTTATATTTTATAGTATTTCTAAATAATTTCATGAATACAGAGCTTAAAATGTGAAAATTACTAACCTTTTCCTGCTTGACATTAATTTGGACATTTTCAAGGCTTTGGCGGGTTCAAGGGGGATAACTCACTACAACTGCTAAAAGTAGACGCGATCGGACTAGTCGCAATTAAACTCTGTTTATAAACTTAAAATATCATATGGCCAGGGATGGTCTTGGAACAAGCATATTATGCTGTGGTGCAATCAAAAAGGTGTTCCATTAATGGGACAATGGCTATAAATGGGTTAAGAAATAAACTCCAGTATTCATAATATCAAATACGGTACCGTGGGTAACATGGTACAGTATGGTAAAACCCTACTTACTGTATGGTAAATGGTGAAACCGTACGGTAACATGGTAAAACTTTACCGCACTGTATGGTAAAACCCTACTTACTGTATGGTAAATTGTAAAACCGTAGGTAACATGTTAAAACTTTACCGTACTGTATGGTAAAACCCTACTTACTGTATGGTAAACGATGAAACCGTACGGTAACATGATAAAACTTTACCGTACGGTATGGTAAAATCGTTCTTACTGTATGGTAAGTATGGTAAAACTGTACGGTATATGGTAAAACCATACAATTTCATGGTAAAACTGTACAGTAAGTACTGTTTTACCGTCTTCGTTATTTGTAAGGGATCCAACATGATAATCAGATCATACCTGTTGTTACAACCTACAACAATACTGCTGCCAATGCCTTGCATCTAATAACAAGCCTCTTGAAGACTAATATCCCCATGATTACAGCAAGAGACTTGTTACAGCTTACAGAAGAAAAAAAAATCTCAGTAATATCCTAGTCCATGGCAGGCTTGTTTAATACACAAATTAATAAAGATTCTATTTTTTAGCAATTTTCTACCAAATTTATGTTCGCTTGATTAGTAATGTTTGCTCATTTCTTATAGGTACATTGGTAAAGGTTTGATCTTAAAAGATTTCAGGTTTTATCATCAGTTTTTAATAAACATTGCAGAAAGTGACTAATTCTTATCTTTTCAGAAATTTTACCACGAGAAATGATATAACTTTAATTTTAGACATGCATAATAAAATTTTTAACATTTCTAAACTTTTGCGCCTTGTTTTAGCATAAATCTTTACTTTGTGACCTTGGCCAGTGCTTTTATGAGACTATGTTCTCATCACCATCGGACATTGCTTCGAACTGATCTAAATTGCTCAAACCGTTTTCAACCGGCTTTAACGGAAACGGGTTTTCTATCCCGCTTTCAGACAGTGATTGTGGCCGGCTTATCTTGCTATAAATACATTTCTGGCATGCGCAGTAGATATGTGTTCTGTTTTACGACATGGAGAAAACCTGCCCATTACTGCACAGCCATATGTCTGATTCTCAACATTTGTTTATACTCATTCTGATGCATTCATCGAATGAAGCTTAATTCTACCATTGATTCTTTTGGCATCCCTTGATCATGTTAATTTGCAGCCACATTAATGTTGGAATAAATGTCTTCACCCTCTGAGAGTAGTTTAAAGGATAGGTTGTTGAGGGTTTATACTAGGTAAGAGCTCTAGTCAGTGTGACACGTTTTGTACCGCATCGAATCAGAGTGTAATGTGACGCTAGCAAATTGAAGGCGAATTTTGTGGGTAGCTTTCCAGAAATCGGTTTGATATCACCAGTTGTTAGTACTCCTTGGCTAGTACTTATTGAAAAAAGAACTGAATGAACTATAAAAAAAAACACAAATAAGTATGAACTATGCCTACATTTGTTTTTAGAGTTGTCTTGAACTTTGCTGATGTGCATTCCATAAAAGTTATTCAACAATTAAAATTGACAATTTCAGATTTATGAAATTCATACCTGAGTAGATATCTTGCGTCTGGTTAAACCAAGTTCTTTACAATGATTTAGTATAATATTATTTACGTTTGGATCAACCATAGCTACTCTTCCACCAGGTTTATCATATTGATACCAACCTTTACCTGTTTTAAATATCAGTATCATAAATTATGATAACGCTATGGTCACACATATTTTGTAATGAGTGCTCTGGATGAGCCTTATGCTGTAATATACAATTGTCATGGCTGTATAAGGTCCTGGCATACAGCACTATTTTGACTTTACAGCAAATACCAAATGATATTAATTACCATACCATCTTTTCTTGCAAGAAAGAAGGTCTTGATCTAGGTTTTACCTGTTTTTCTTCCATATCTTCCAGCCTGGAATATTTTATCAGCTATAGCACAATAACGTTCACCATTTATATATCTTGTATTAGTTGTTAAATTGAAACCATTTGCTATAGCTTGTTCTTGTCTTATTCTCCAACCAACATCAATACCTTTAATACAACAAATCAAGATAAAAGTAATCTGTAAAGAGAGCACATATTTCAAACTGATAAAAGGGTAGAGACAAAAATAGTCTATCAATTACACGAGATGTACAGTTCGATATTGCTTGAAGTTTTGCATACCCTATACATACATTATTGATGGAATATTATCTTAACAAACCTGAGCAAATAAAGTGGTAAAAAGAGTGGTAAAAACAGTCCCCAAATTACAAATGATATGTACAGTATATATACAACATTGAAAATCATCTTAACAGACCTGATAAATCATTGACTTTAAACACTCCCATGGGCATACCAAAATCTTCTAAAATATCGTCAACTTCATTGGGTAATAGCCCTTCTTCTACGACAAATCTTAGCTATCAGATAAATAATAACAATTTCAAATAACTTGATTCAGCCTTGGTTCTCTGATTAGTTGTAACATGCAAAGCTATGTTATACCACAGTGCCTCAATCTCAATCTGTATAGGCAAATGTTACTCCAGTATCATAATTTTCAAAGGATTTCTGTACATTATAGTTTTGGAACTTTTTTCTAAAATAATCATACCTCTTGGCTGTATTCGAAGAAAGTTCTATTAGCAACAAAACCATGACATGTCTTAACTAACACTGGAATCTGAAAAAATACTGATTTATTTTATTTTCAATCATGGTTTTAACAATACAAAATTTGGAAATGCTAGATTTTATAAGAAAAACTTCATTAGGTTATGTATGCATAGTGATCAAGCAACAAATATCAAATTCATTTAATGCATTATTCTTAAATGCATACAGATGTAATATGATCTTGAAATAACACTGAGAATAAGGCTGACAATTGCCTTTTTGATGTTAAATTCTAGTCTTACTTTACTGCTGTCACTACAACAAATTGAAACTCACCTTTCGTATCTTTTTGCTCAATTTCATAACAGTGGCTATAGTTTCAGCTGACGTGTGATTGCCATATACATTTTCTAATAATGGCATGATATGAGCTGGAGCAAAGAAATGGGTTCCTACCACTTTCTCAGGTCTACTTGTTGATTTGGCTATCTAAAATTAATGTACACAATTAATACATCTACATTTTCTCTAGAATAAGGTTCAACACTGCCATTACAACAGAAAGCTAATATAATTGCTAATATAATGCGTACCTCTTTTAACCCTTCAGTAAAACTGGAAAAATGTTTGTCACTGTAAATAATGTGCACTCCGTCATTACAAAAAAAATATTTCAATAACCAGAATTATAATTCAAACATACTTTATCTATATCAAGAGTAGATGTATTAGAACATAATACTGTGTCTCTTTTACATATCTTATCTAACTTGGAAAATAATTCTTGTTTTAACTTTAAATTTTCAAATACAGCTTCAATTATCTAAAAAAAATATTCATTGATAGCAGATTACATATCATTATCTAATTATCTATTTCATTCATGGAATGAACATGGACCAAATGCACTTACTGTGAATGAATGACTGGTAAAGCTTATTCATGATAAATTTAATCTTAACCTCCAGCTTACTCATGTATTGCTATTACCAAATTTTATTCATGCTTAAAGTGTACAATGAGCTCCTCAAATCCAAAATAATCAATTTAACTTACCAAATCAACACTTTGTAAGTCCTCTATTTTAGTTGTTGGTTGTAAAATTTGTAAGATTTGATTCATTTGTGATTGTGTCATACGTTTCAATTTGACACCACCTTGTAGAATAGACTTGATTAACTCGATACCTCTCTCTAAATTCTGATAAATATAAAATATTCACGTTTAACATATGCCCATATGTTTGTACATAAACTATGCTCGGGGTTTGTGTCGACACCATGGACTTACACCCATGAAAACATTAGCACTGCTAAATGTGTATGTATTATTATCAACTTATAAATTTATCTTGATAGGGGTTGGAACCAATTTCACAATATCAGCTACACCAAGCCAATTCAAAGTGCTACAGGCTAAATACTGAGATATGTCATAATGGCAAAGGATGTGTTTGACTGCTGTGCTTTCAGAACAGGACAAAAGATATTTATTTTTTTGATTACCATACTTCAATATGTGACTCATTCTTTTAATATGTTTGATGCTTGAACTTAATAAAAAATCCATTTGGTTACTGTACCTCATTGTTTTTGATTGCTGCACCTTAGAATATAACTAACAGATCTCAGAATATAACAAAGGATGTGTTTGAATTTTGTACCTTTGAATCTTGTTCTACAAGTATAACTGGTATACCACTTGTTAGCAGAGAAACAGCTATACCACTTCCCATAGTACCAGCTCCTATAACACCTGCTGTTTTCACTGGTATATCTTTACTGACTTTATAATTCTTACTAGCACTTAAATACCACTGAAATATAAAAATAATAACATTGAAGTCAAAGGTTATATGTATACCATACAGATATAGTCCTCTTAATATCTTAAATAAAGGAAGCTTTCCTTCAGATGCTTCAACAAAGGAATCAGAAGTTTCCAATTAACATGATATTCCAATGTCTTCTGAGCTCACTGCCTAATTTCAGATATCCAAGGCTCTTTGAGTTAATTAACACCAAAATTTAGTTTTTTAATTTTAAATTACATGTTCATGAAACTGCTGAACTACAAGTTCTTATTTGATACTGTAATTTTAACAACAATTTTCACAAACTTAGCAATACAATGAACCTTAGTTGCAGCTCGTTCAGAGAAGAATGAATACTGCTGCCCTCTAGCTTGTGCTGATGACATCAACTCCATGAAGAGCTGGAATTCTTTGGTTACTCCTTCTGAATATGGCAAGTCAACAGATGCCTTGACAGCTTTCAGACAATTCTATAAATTAAAGATAAGTCCAAAGGTATATTCATTCAATATTTGTAACTCAAAATAATTTTATAACTATGTTATTTAAGTATTCTTTAATTAAAAGAGTGTACATCAGCAACAAAGAGAGTATGCATTTATCAGGCAAACATCAAATTCAGGCCTTTCAAAATCTCAGTCTGTTGATTATTTGGTTAAAGATTCAAAGAAAAAGTTATGCCACAATTAAAAGCAGTTCTAATGGTTCTTTATTTGTATATCAATCAACTCACTATGGGTGCTATATATCCTCTTTGCTTCTGTTTTATTTTGGCCAATTTCTCTGAAAAAGAGAGTGCCCACATAAATTATGAGAAAAGACTACCAAATATTAGCAATACTTAATATGTGGAACAGGCCATACTCTCTAGTAGCTATGTACAATTTTGTTAAATATTTTGAATTGATAAGGCTTTTTCTTTTTAAAGATTTTAGAGATTTTACATGAAAATTGTGGGCTGATGTCATTAGAAAACAAGACTAACCTTCAAAATGTTTGTTTGCATTTTCTGAATTTGGAACTGGTACATTTTTTAACCTTCTATCATGAGGTACTGTATTTAAGGTTTTCGCAAACTGAACAGCTGCAGTTAATAAATCTCCATCAACAATCTATTATATATGTTAAATATAGCAAATGATGTAAATAGACAAGTAAAATTTATATCCTTTGTAGTTTCCATTAGGAATCTATGCTCTCTGTGGGGCAAGTGATATTAGAATATCTTCTTTTCTAATAATTGCCTGATAGGATATGTATGTGAAAATGACCATTAAAACTGATCAATTAGATGACAGATTTGCTTAGTTATTCATGTTCTACTTAGGTTGCAGACATTAGCCCGGACTGGAGCTGACAGCATTTTTGCATTTTCTACAATGCAAAGTTAATGTAAAATCTGGGATCACCAGACAAGAAATGTCAATACCTTATCTAAGATTCCATACTGGAGAGCCTGTGGTGCTGAAACTGGTTTTCCAGATACTATCATATCCATGGCCACTTCAAAGCCAACTACTCTGGGTAATCTCTGGGTACCATTGGCACCAGGTAATATGCCTAAACTAACTTCTGGGAAGCCTAACCTATAATCACATCCATCAAACAACAATTGTTGAAATTCTTCATAAATCTGTATGTAATGAGAGCCTTCATTTTATAAAAAAAAAATTTTTTCAAGGCATATGAACTCAATCCGACAAAAGCATGCATCCATAAGTTGCACAATAATAAACTTCCTTAGTTGAATGTACAGACAGTCTATAATGACTGAATAAAAACTTACTTAGCTGAATGTACAGCCAGTTTATAATGACTGAATAAAAACTTACTTAGCTGAATGTACAGCCAGTTTATAATGACTGAATAAAAACTTACTTAGCTGAATGTGCAGTCAGTTTATAATGACTGAATAAAAACTTACTTAGCTGAATGTACAGCCAGTTTATAATGACTGAATAAAAACTTACTTAGCTAAATATACAGCAAGTCTATAATGACTGAATAAAAACTTACTTAGCTGAATGTGCAGTCAGTTTATAATGACTGAATAAAAACTTACTTAGCTGAATGTACAGCCAGTTTATAATGACTGAATAAAAACTTACTTAGCTAAATATACAGCAAGTCTATAATGACTGAATAAAAACTTACTTGGCTGAATGTACAGCCAGTCTATAATGACTGAATAAAAACTTACTTAGCTGAATATACAGCAAGTCTATAATGACTGAATAAAAACTTACTTAGCTGAATGTACAGCCAGTCTGTAATGACTGAATAAAAACTTACTTAGCTGACTGTACAGCCAGTCTATAATGACTGAATAAAGCTATCTCTAAACCACCACCAAAACATACACCATGTATAGCAGATACCACTGGTTTATTACAAGATTCTATCACATCACCTACTGTTAATAAACTTACACCTGAAACACAGGGATGTACATCACACTTTTATCACAGAACAATGTCATTTGGGTGGAAAGACTCTCCTTGGTTTGTTCATTTACATCAAGTATGAAGCAGTTTGAAAACATCTAGTCTTTAATACAGAAGATCTATATTATCATTATTTGCCTGTTAACCTGAATGAATCGGCCCATTTGTAATACTGTGACAATTTGATCAGTCACTGCAGTCAGTGTTTGTGTAACATATGCAGTACATAGTTACAAATATATTATAAGTGTAGGACCATAAAAAATTGAAAATCTCAATCAAAACGTTTTACATTGACAGATTTACTCAGCAATGACTTAATTCTGTGAGATTTATAGATACTTTATTTTGATTTTTCCGATTCTGCAAATTCCATTCCTTATTCGCGATCATGAGACATCATCATAATTATAGGGCCTATAATGAAAGATGTTAGCTAACCTTGTTTTGAAGTGACATCAGCAACCCTTGGAAACTCTGTTATATCTGCTCCAGCAGAGAAATGCTGACCATTTCCTATAAGAACTATTGATTTGATTCTTGGATTATCAATAGCTCTCTTTACCCCATTGTTCAATCCAGTTACCAAAGCTTTACTGAATTTGATAATGAAAAAATACAGTCTACAATAAAGAGCCTAATCATATTTCAATGGCCAGGAGATTTCTCCAGTTCAATATGTATATAACACATTGAACACAAACCTGAAAATGCTGACAGTTTTTGGAGCAAAAAAATAAATCAACAGAATCATACGGAAGCTCAAATACGGCATGTTTTTGAATTTTTGAATTTTGAATTTGAAAAAATACTTAAGAATTTGTAAAAATACTTATGAATTTGTAAAAAATACTTAGGAATTTGTAAAAATACTTATGAATTTGTAAAAAATACTTAGGAATTTGTAAAAATACTTATTTATTTGTAAAAATACTTATGAGTTTGTAAAAAATACTTAGGAATATGTAAAAATACTTTAAAATACCCTAAAAATTCAAAAGCATTTTTACAAAGTCAGAAGTTTTTTATAAAGTCAAAAAGAAAATTTCAAATGTGAAATTCAAAAACATGGTATTTGAGCCATCGTAGAATCATATACCCTAAATATTCTTTAATTACATTCCCTGAAAAACTTCCTTTACAGCAGTAGGCTTTTCAAAGACAAATTTAAAGCAAACATAATAGCCACCTTTTTGGTCAGAAATATCTAAAATAGTAATTTATCAGATTTCATTGCCACACAATTTTGGGAACATATCCCTTTAAACATCTGTAAATGGTGAGTTTAATTTGCAGATCTATAATGTAATGGAAAAATATAAAATTATTGTATTTTTTCTTTAATTTTTCCTTTATACTAAATATTTTCTATTTTAAGAGTAACAAAAACAATAGTTAAGTGCTATTTATTATATCAACTTCCACAAATAAAAATTGATGAGTGCGGCAAACTGCACCAACAATTACAGAAACACATCATGGCGAACACCATATGTAGTAGAAATTTTACCTTAGGGCATTTGCTGGAGGGTTTTTCAATTCGATCACAGCCACAGAATCTATTTCTTTATATTCTGCCATTTTCTCCGTGATTTGTATATTACAGTAAACTGATTAAAACATGCTGTCAAACTGGTCTTGTGTCCTTTCTTCAGAAACTGGACTTTGGAGTATTGGTCGTTCGAGCGATTCTTTCAGAACAGTATTAATAATTCAGACTACAGTTAATTTCCCCATTGAATGGACTACGGTGTTGGCTGTAGGCTAGAGATTTTAAACTCCTACTCTTGTAATTTCTAAAAATGCTACTAAGCACTAGTAGGCCTAAGTATTTTTATTATTCATGTGGTAATAGGCTTAACAGTGATCATTCTTGGTTACAAAGATTATTTCATTTCATCAATAATTGATTTAATGTGGTGAGAATACCTGGAAATAGCCGGCTTACTCTCTGTACCCTCAGCGCATATACTCTGCTGTGCGAGAGTGTGCGTATACCATAGAGTTATATAATAAGTTTTATTTTTAACTCTATGGTTTACTGTGCGTAGACTGCATATTTTATATACATTCTGAGTGCTCAGACTGCTTATACTAGTACTAGTTACACTCTCTGAGAATACCCTCTGTGCATACAGTGACTCTGTCCAGACTCAAATGGCAGTCAATGCAGTGGAAAAATAGAACTGTATACTGACAGTACACAGTTTTATGGAGGACCAAGAAATAAAGTATCTGAAACTGTTGAATTTAATGTAAAATTATTATTACCGGTATGTCATACTATGTACGTACAAACTTTCCAGAATACCCTCGATCGTACATCACAATATTCCTACCCAGGTGAACTTTTTTCAAGTGGAAGGTTATCTTAAATGTGGGAGTAAATCATCCATTCTATTTTTAGCCCACTTACCTTGACACATCAAAGCAAAGGTAGAGAGAAGCCGCCGTGAATTATCAATAGGTATGGTCAATTTATATTATCTTACTTTTTTCTGCAAAGGTTGTAAGGTCCATATGTGGTTCACATAGTGTAAAATTAAAATTATAATGAAAATTAATTAGGCGTTGAGGAATACACACAGGTAATGCAAAACAGGTATGCTAAATATAAACATTCCAACGAGAAAACCGGTATTATAGTGAATATGATTGAAACTGAATGCTTGACCGATTCTGCCCTATTCATCATCGAGTTGATGTTGAAGAAATTATGTAGGGGAAATGAAAAATCCCCAAAATTAGTGACTTATGACTGCAACATTTTGATATTATGATAACAATAAGTGCTGAGAAATTAGTAAATATTCTGAATTAAAAGGGTATTGATTTGTCAACAAGATAAACAATAAAATGAAATATTTATGCTAAAATTGAGAAACATTTTATTCACTGAAATTCAAATAATGTTCAGGGGTCAATTTAAATTTGAATGTTTGATTTATTGATAAACTTGCATTTATGTGATAACTGTTATATAAGCTATATACTGTACTGATATATTAGTACATCTTTCAAACTTTTCTGGTAATCACAATTTATAGTCTGCTTTCTTTGCATTATGATTTTACTATCTTCTCATAGTAAGGTTTATACGGATATCCTGGTAGTCTAAATATTGCGATAAATTGCTATTTCAAACTAGTTCTGATAAGGGACAATGTTTTAACACATAATATAAGTTGAGGTTCCTGATCTTAGGTGGATCATTAAATTATATATCTGACTGTAAATACATAAAATTTCAAAAAAACCTAATGAAGACATGTCAGAGCTCCAATCGGAACTTGCCTGGTAAATACAGCCTAATTATAAGGTATAAAATTTTATTAATATTGCTTCTCTCCTAGCAATATATAAGCCTATGATATTTTAACTATGATTCATGTTATAGTTATTGTGACTTGATGAATTAATGTATTTCTCTAATTACATACCAACGAGAAGTAATTGCTTTTTACACCCTACTCTCATCTTATCTAGTCTTCTTGTTATGTAGGAATTTAAAATTTCTAATCAATATTGTTGAAATGCATATTAAGCTGTGGCCTAGTTGACACAAGAGTTCAGACTTTCCAAGAACATGATTATTGTAAGAGTATGAAGAAATTGGGTAATTGTAGTTGACAGATCTAATTTTTGAGGAAATTATTGTATGGTAGCATTTACCCTAGAACACAGTTGTGCATGCTAACCTGAAGATCCAGAGTTAATCCTAGTATAGGTCAAGATACCTTGGATTTCCCCCTGTCATTGATGCAGGTCGGAGGAGCTGAAATGGAAAAAGCATGTAGTCGTTCTGATGGGACAATAAACCAAGGCCCTGTGTGCTACAGGTTGTGCCCATAAAAGATCCCTCTACAGATTGAAATCAAGAAAAAATAGGCTAATGTGATTCCCCTGGCAAAATTTCCCTTGTTGCACACTGTGTAGCTTTGCAAGTCTTTATTAGCCCCCATCCATTTCATTTCATTTACTTACAAAAGGCATTTGTCACATATCTGAGAACACAGTTGTTATCTCTCTTTGAGAACACAGTTGTTATCTCTCTTTGAGAACACAGTTGTCAACTGTCTCAGAGAACACGGTTGTCAACTCTCTCTGAGAACAGAGTTTTCAAATCATATCTAAAGCCCCTATTACACCAGGCTGCCATTAGGTGTTCATTTGGGGTGGTGTTGGTGGTTAAAGAACACAGTTATTTGAAATGAAATGAAATGAAGTTTTTTGTCCTACTTTTCAAACTTATTTGAGATTGAACAACTTGGCTTATCAGGAATTGTTTGGACTAAATCCTCCATCCTATGCTAATGCCTTTTTACTGTTACATGATGTTAACATTTTTTTTAATATTTCTGAAGTAAAAGATTAGAATATGTTAAATGAATTAGCTCTAAAGCCATGGTTTTCAACCCGTTTTTTGTATGTTTCCCAAAATCACATCAGCTTGAAAACAATGTTCTTGGAAGAAATACATTAAAAATCAGCAGGTAATTGAATAGTTGTTTTTTTCTAGCCCTGTGACTTGAAAATCTATTCCCTACAGGCTTTTTTCCATCATATATATATGACCTATTGCTTTGACTAGCTTTATTAGTTCAACTTAATCAAATATTGAAAGGTATCCAAGCATATATAAATAAATGATAAGAGATTTTTTCCTCCTACTATTCCTGTGTATATGTAAGAGCAATAACAATAGATGCCCAGTTGATTGTGACAAGGTTTAGACATTTAGGTAAAATATTTTTCCTTCTCAGCTTATTTTTCTATTTGACGATTTGGTTCATTGACTAGTATTGGTTAACTGGTTTTGGTGAGCCAGCTGATGAAAAAAACAAGTATCATTGAGTTCATCTGTTTATTTTCTTGTTTTATGGCTCCTCTTACCTCAATTTTCCAGAAATCAGAAAAAAACCAATATAGTTTGGAGCAGAACTATACACTGTTCAAAAGGAAAGAAATCCAAACAACAATGATGACATCAATGTCACTTTTGCTGTTACGATGTCAGGATAGAATGTGTAAGTGTTGAAAACTTTAGGTCAATAAGGTAAATCACTTGCTTGTATGATGCAACTATAAAGACAAGATGCTCTCTCAGTGTTAGCCACTCCATCCTGCATCACTGACATAAGAAACAGTTTGAACAAGAGCTTCATTATAGAGTATAAAAGATACAGTATTATGAATTATGAACTAGTGTGTATTTGATATGATTTGAATTTAGGCCCACTACCAATATTGACATTACATATTGTATTGACTACCTACAATTATGTTATCAGCTTCATTAGAAGGGCCTTTTTATGGACTGATGAGTTAGTTGTATTCAATGTGTTTTCCCCCTCATGAGCTCAAGACATTACATCAGCCCTGTCATTATGGTGGGGCCCATGGTGGCTGGGCTCCTGCAAGTGAGACTTAAAACCCAGAAAACCTTTTTCAGTTCAGCCGAGATCGACTGATTTGCAGTGTCTTGGTATGAAACAAGAAAGATGTTTTGATAAGGTGTTTGGTGCCTAAGAATTGCTTGAAATGAGTGCTCAGGACTTTTCATTGGGGATTGCCCCAGGCCTATAGAACTTGCGTTGCTCTGCCCACACCATCTTGGCACAAAATCTAAACCTCAGCTCGAATCCATTCTGGACGGTACTGCATTATTTTTTGATACACATGTATATCATAATTGATAGTAAATTACCTTCATTAAGATTTGTATCTCTATATATTTGAATTAAGGCTCTACTGATTATCTGAGTTAAATGACTTAAAATATATTGTTTGTCCCCAATATAATAATAGCTAAGTATCCACTCCTTAAAATCATAAGCATGTCATTCACAATTAAAATATACTCAAAAATAATTAGGTGTAATGGATTGAAGGCTGACTTCAGGTGGATTCTAGAAAGCAGGCACTGAATCACCTTGTTATTCTAAATTAAAGAGAATTCGGATTAATGCAATTGATTGAAAGAAGAACTAGATATTAATCTATTGAACATGATACTTCAAAAAAGCTAACTAAATATTTGTGTGTATCAGAGGCATATGTTGTTTATTTTTTTGACATTCAAATTTCCTGCCACTTATGAGTACTTCTTTGGTACAAGAAAGTCTCCTCTGACATCTTGACTTTTTGATATTATGTATGTCCTAAATATTATTATCAATCAGTTGAAAAACCCAGCCCAGTGATGTCCCTCATATCATGTCATTAGAAAATAAACATATTCACTCAACAACTGAAACATGCCATTTTAATAGTGTTGATTTATCAAATAATTCTATATAACTTTGTAAATAGAAATAATAGGCATCTTGTATTTAAATTACAAGACCATTCTTCCCTTGAACTAGAGAACGGTTGCTATGAAAATGCATAGTTCTCAGTAGTATACATTATGTTTTCATTATTATAACTTGGGCACCTCTCAAGGTTCTTTTTATTGGTTAAGATTCATTCAGAGCCTTTTGGATAAAGTGAACTTTGATGTAGTCCTAGTGTACTAAGTGCTAATAATGAAAATGAAATTGCTATGTAGGCTGAACTGGTAAAGAAATCAGGGTGTAACTCAGGGAGAGCTTACTACATCACTATTATTCTATACAGTAATTGTGAAATATATAAAGATAATATGATATAGTTTTGTGTAGGTGTTGT